ATTTTTGTAGGCCTGTTTGTCATAGAAGATTGGCTAGTTTCTTCTCTGGGGGACAACTAGACCCAAATGCAGCAGCTTCTTGGGTCTGCACATGAAATTACAGTTCTGTAGGATGTGTGTGTTCAGAGGTATTTGAACATATCTGATATTTTTCCTTTGAAGAACATAGAGTCTGCATCTGAGAAGGCTCAGCTTTCTTGGCTCAGTGAAAGATTGAGTTCCATAATGCAAACTATTCTGCATCATTGAGTCCCCTGTGACACATCATATTGCCCCTAGATTACCATAGTACATGCACCATAATCCTAGCAGAACAAGTCTGACCATAATAGTATGATCCCAAAGATTCACATAAAGCATAATGCAAGGCAACATATCTGCACTATTTTAAAAAGATGAACTGTCATCTGAGAGAGACCTATGGCTCCAGAAAGTCTAGTAGTTCAGTTCCCAGATTTCAGCCATTAAGCTGCTCCTCTGGGTTTCAGAGACAGATTCTGATGTGTTTTGGGCAAAATGCCAACTGATCCCACTTCATCATTTGATGGAAAATGAGTCTGGCCAGTTCTATTGCTTGCATACCCATCATTGCCTGATGAGGAGAGAGCTTTGCAGTTAATGTTCACCAGCCCCTGCCTGTTAAGATTACGACTATGCCAGAAAATGCACAAATCACATCCTTTGAACTCGCTTTCCAGGCTCTTTAAAAAAGAAGAAGCAAACATACGTTAACAATACAAAATTGAACAGAAGCAATATTTCCAAGTCAGAGCAGAGATCTGATTAAGGACCCTCAGTCTCAAAATCAGACAAACTTGGAACACAGCCTTAACAAACATTCAAAATATGATCCAGATACCTTTCTTTTCTGTCTAATCTTCTAACAAAGACAATACTTAAATTCTAGTTTTTTAGTTAGGTACATTCCAGATAACTCTACATTACAGGCTCAAAGAACATACATTTTGAAAATGAACCAGATGTCTTTTGGAGGAGTATTGTATGATGAATATTTATTTATTTATAAAATTTGTATGCCATCCATTACTTGCGTATCCCCAAAGAATACCCCCAAAGTAGTTTTGGGGAAGGTCAGTACACATGAAAAGGCACACAGTTTCTGTCACACCTTCCATCTAAATGAAGCTGTGTGACTAATGGGGCAGGCCAAATAAATAAATAAATAAATGACAATTGTTTATTTTTGGAACATGAACAGAATTATGGTGAAAAAATCACGAGTATTTTAGTCTCTTGCTTTCTTTTCAGAAGAGGGTTTGAAGGTATTTGAGGAACCTACTACCAAGGAATCATAAACAAAGGGAAATCTTGAACCATTTTGTTTGGTCTTTACTAGACTGATCAGAGAGTATCTCCCCAGAGTCTCTGTCCCATTCATGAACTGCAAAGAAGGGTACATTCTTCCTATTTTCATGTGGTCTGAAGAAATGCTTAAGTCTTTTATGCTTAAAAAGTCCTGCTTCTCTAGGGCTAAAGGACAGAAGCCACCTATCTCAGAGGCTTGCCAAAATCCAAAGACCTGCTGGCCTTTTGCAAGCATGATTGGTGGAACAAATCAGACTAGATTTACCTCTACATCCTTTACAGCACTGGTTTTCTACCACCAGTCCACGAACTGGTGCTGGTCCATGGGAGATTTCCTGCCAGTTGGGGTGGGGGGGGGATGCCGCTCACCGTGGACCAGTGTGGGGACTGGATGTGCTCCACCACCTCTTCCTCAGTTGGCATTGTGTTTGTGGAAGGTGCGCTGGTGCTGCTGGGGAGGGGGCAGGGAGGGGAGAGGCAGCTCATTGGGAGCACGCCGCGAGCCATGTTGCGCCAATTTTGGTATTTTGTTCTTTTGTTGGCATTTTTTGTTGCCCAGTTTCTGGTTGTTTAGGAGAATTTTCACTTTTTTGCACAAACAAATACACAGCACACTGTGTTATGTGTATGGTGCTTTTTGTTTCTGGCTCTGCTGTCTCCAAGGTGGTTTTCTTGTTTCCGCTGGTCCCCCGCTGTGGAAAGGTTCAAAACCACTGCTTTACAGTATCTTTCACTAGATCAGACTTTAAGCCCTTCTAGTGGAGTTGCACGGCTGGAAATTGGACCAGGAGCTGGTGGATGCATGATCTCCCCTATTCCTACCCACTCTTCCCACTCCATACTTGGGGAAGGTAGCCAATGTGAAGCTTTTAATGCCTCGTGGCATTTTAAAGACTGTGAAATTTTACAATGGGGTAAGCTTAGGTGGACTTAGGTTGCTTCATCTGATGCACCATCATCATCACATTTCCGTACTGCCTGTAGCTGAAGCTACCCAGGCAGTTCACAACATATAAGTCACCCATCCAGATTTCAACCAGACCTGACCCTGCTTAGCTTCCAAGATTAGGAAGAGTGTGATCCTCAGTAGTTTCCAATAAAGAGATCCCAACCTAATTCCTTACAATTCAGGACATGCCTTCAAACAAGTTAGTGGTAACCAAGTGAGTCGCTAAGCTGAAGATAAACACTTCTTTTCAGGTCTGCTACGGGTTGGGCCAGCTGACTCAATCATTTGCCCCCTTACAATATTATTGATTTATTATATTTATATCCTGCTTTTTTCCCTTGCAAAGAACTCAAGACAGCTTACATAATCCTCTTCCTCTCAATTTTATCCTCACAACAACAACTCTGTGAGGTAAGTTAAGCTGAGAGTCTGTTACTGGCCCAAAGTCATCCAGTGAGCTCCATGGCCGAGTGGGGACTAGAACCCAGAGCTCGCAATTTCCCAGTCCAACACTCCAACCGCTATGACACACTGGCTCTCTTTTCTCCCATCATACACATCTAAGACTCACTGTAGCTATACTATTACCCCAAATTTCAGCCTCCCCCACCATCTCTTTCATAATCTGAGAAGCAGTTATCCTAAAGGGAATGGCACATGGATCACAATTATGCCAGCATACCATGGCTTGGTCAAGATGGCCTTCTTTTAGCTCTGTTTACAACAGTGGGTGATTCCTGACAAGGCTTTTATTGTACGATTGTCCTGCCTTGTTCAAAGCTGCTGTAATTAAACTGTATTAAAAGCAGTTTAGGAGGATCTCAGTGAGGACAAAAGCACACTTACAAACTATTACTAGGCATGTCTACTCAGAAATAGGCTGTATTGAGTTAAATGGGACTTACCTTAATGGCTTGGGTCCTGGTTACCTGAAGGAATGCTTACGTCCATATATGCCCACCCGCCCCTTGAGATCAGCGGGAGAGGCCCTTCTCCGGGAACCCTCCGTGAAAGATATTAGGAGGGTAAGTACTCGGAGGAGGGCTTTCTCTGCCGTGGCACCCAATCTATGGAATGCGCTCCCCAGAGAGGTCCTCCTGGTGCCATCGTTATTTGCTTTTTGGTGCCAGGCGAAGAGCTTTTTATTCAAACGCTATTTTAATTGTTAATATTATTTATTTATTTATTTATTTATTTATTTATTTTTCAGGCCAGGTCGACTCATATTATATTGTTTTATACTGCTCTTATTTATTTATTATTGTAAGCTGCCTCGAGGCTTCGGCGAATGGGGCGGCATAGAAGCCTTCTAAATAAACAAACAAACAAACAAATAATAAATACCTTCAGGTCATCTTCTAGGATTTTAATCCCTGCACAGTAAGGCTAAGTCTCCCTGAATTTGATGTGACTTTTTGTTATTTCATTGCATTTATATCTCACCTTTTTTCCTCTTGTGAGGAACTCAGGACAGCTTACACAGTTCGAGTTTATCCCCAGAACAACAGACCTGTGAGGTAGGAGAGTGAGTGACTGGCCCACAGTGACCCAGTGAGCTTCATAGCCGAGCGGCGACTTGAACCCGCATCTTCTGGATTCCCTGTGCAATACTTTTAACCACCATCTCGGCTATCACCTGAGTAGACATGCCTATAGGAGCAGGTCGGTGAGAGTTAAACTCGATGGGTGCTTCTCGTAGTGTTCTAAGCAGTGCTTCTACGTTGCCAAATTTTCTGCTGAGATAACTTGGCTACCATTGGGCATTCTGCACCTTGTCGGCAGGTGGCGTGCGGAAAGAAGCTCTTTGTTCGACGGTGATCCAGAGCCCCCTTTATATGGTAGTAATTCTGGATTCTGTCCCTCCAGTTATAGGACAATCTCCCCACTGAGGTCCGCCTGGCGCCAAATTTACTATCATGTTGGCCCCAGGTAAAGACTGCCTTCTACTGCAGGGCATTCAATTAGTCCACTGGGGCCTGCCAGATTTTTTCAAGGTATTGTGTGTGTGTGATCTGTTTTAAATTTTGTATTATACGCTTAATTTTTACAAAGTTCTTTTAATATGTTTTAACATGGTTCTTTTTAATTGTATTTTTAAAGGGATGTTGTGAACCACCCAGAGGGCTGTTGGGCGGTATAGAAATAAAGAACGAATTCCGAGTTGAAGGATAGTGTTGTCACCTAAATATCCCTTTACATTGGGTTATTTATGGTGCACAGCTTCGCACGTGCACTCAAGAAGCTCAAAGCTTTACAAGCAGGCTTACTCTCAAGTAAGTGCAAGACCGAAGTCCTAATGCCCGGAAACCTCCACCACGGGTTCCGTCCCCACGGCCATAAATACGCAGGATGGACGACTGGGAGCGGGGCAATGTGCGATAAGAGACACGCTGCAGTAGCCACTCAGGTGAAGCGTGTCGGCATCCTGCAGCTGTTCCGGGGCCGCCGCAGCGCCTCCCAACCGCTTCTCCCCGCCTGCACCGCCCCTGGAGAACTACGGGCGACTTGCAGTAGCTTCTGCAGCACCGGATCAATAAATGCTCTCGCACGCCCCCGACGGACAGGGTAGCCCCACAGTTGTCCCCGGTTTGCAAAGCGTTCCCAATGACAAGCCGCAGTTCTGGGGCGGGGCTAGGAGGCGAAAGGCGGAGCTCACCATATTACCCGAGCTGGGATTGGCTCTTCAAAGGCAAAACTTTCCGCGCCTGCTTATTGGCTATGCAAGGGGAGGGCATGCTGTGATTGACGGAGGTCAAGATGGCGGCGCCCGTTGTTATTCCGGATACAGACAGGTAAGGTCTTGTCAGGCTTCGGCTATTTCTTGTGGGCTAGTGGTGAGGGGCGCGGGTGGGTAATGTTATCCCAGCTGCCTGTAGCACTGCCGTATTAAAACCGGGCCGAGGTTTCACCTGAGCCGGGCCCGCTCGTTTTTCAGTGCTAAGGCTCATACTAAGTAGTGAAAAGAAGCTGGTGCCTGAGCATATGTAGAGTGCCTTCCGCCTTACTGTATACTTGTGATCATACTTGTGGTTACGGCACCCTGATAGCGTAAAGCATAGTCCTGTGCGCATGTACTTGGGAGTAAGCCTTGTTAAGCTTTTTGGGAAGTATTTCCGAGTTGACACGTGTTTGATTGCCCCGTAAAAAGATTAAGTAGCTAAGCAGGCTGTGGCGGTGGAAACATCACTTGCATTATATGACACAGAAACCTTGCCTGGAAAAGTTAAATTTGCCATTTTTTGTGTGTGAAGCAGAGAGGGGGAGATAAGCTCATTCTTCCCTCTCAGTTCTCCATTAACTGATTCCTTTCTTTCCACTTCTCTCCTCATCGTCCAGTGTTCGAAAGGCAGTGGCTCTCATCAGTGCCATAGATACAGGCAGGTTCTCTCGGTTACTTTCGCGCATCCTTCAGAAGCTTCACTTAAAGGTTCGTATGGACAGAAAATGGCACACAATCTTTCCTAAGTTGATAACTGTGAACTGTGCCAGAGTATAGACTTGGCATTCTTTATTTCAAGTACAAATGAAACTGCCTCTTCTTTTTCTGTTGCTAATTATGGGTCGATTAGTAGCATGCCTTTTGAAGTTGTTCTGTTCACAGTGGACTGGCTCTGAAACAGCAGTCTTTGGCCTTTTCAGGTCTATGGACACATTTTAAAAATTATTATTAACAACCATATATTTATTCGGTGGTAATGATGCTGTTGCTGCAACCCAGTGGTAATACTTTCCCCATGCGGTTGGAGTGCAGCTTTCACCATTCCCAACTGTAACTTCTGTGCTGGCTGAGAATGATGAGAGGTGTAGTCCAATGCATCTAGATGGCACCAGCTTGGGGAAGGTGTAGTTCTGTGATCTGATGCCCCCCTCCCCCCATTTATGATAGGTGCTACTACCTTTTTGCAGTGGTGTGTATGGAATATTAGTCCTTCCAGTTTTGTGTGCTGAATGGAAGGAGCTTTTGTATTCACCTGTAAAGAACTTCAGCTTCATAGAATTCATGGTCCTTTATGATTAATTGATTGATTAATATTGAAACTAGTAGCCTTAAACATAACTGTTTTTATGGTCATTGTATGTTCTACAAGTTCTACATTGTATGTCACAAGTTACACTTGAATTCAGGATGGCTTCTTTGTCAACACTTCTCTAGAAGTGGAGTAGGCAGAGAAAATTCTCATTCTATATATGAAAGATTCCTCAAAAGCCGTTGGATTCAAGACCCTGAGTGTTAGCTCAACTACTGTTGCCAGTTTTTAAAATGGCCCTGTGACTGTTTTACTGTGTAGATAATATCATCTGTCAGTATCTCTGGGTTGTGAAAGGCTATTTACAACATGATGCTAGTTCCATTAAAGGCCCAAGAGCAATGATATGGGACATTAATTTTTCCATAGAAAATGTTTTGTGATTTCAGTAGTAAGAAGGAATAGGTGCCAGCTGCAAATAGAATCTTAGGCAAGCTTGGTAGTTTCAAACTTCATGTCACAGTCTGGGACTTACATATCTTAAAACTAGTTTCTCTGTATTAATCTACTTGCCCTAGTTCAGGCTCTGTTTTGTTTATCTGATCAGTGAAGTATAAACTCAAGTGGCTAGAAGCATGGCTACCTCAGTTATCCTGAGACTTGGAATATCTTCTGTTTAGAAATGCATAGCTCTTTGCTGGCTTTTTGAATGGTTAACATGCATGACTTCCAAATGACCTTTGGTCTTGCAGGCTATCTAAATCTCCCCTGCCCCAAATGTGTTACTCCTTTCAGGTTTGATTGTATACTTTGTTTTATTTTTTTGGGGGGGGTATGGTATCCTTTCAAGGTCACATAGAAATTTTTTATCTGAAACAAATAGATGGGACGGTGGGTTGCCTTCATCTCAGAAGGATGTAACGCAGGGGTCTGAAACTCAACTTACCTGGGGGCCGCTGGAAGTAGAGTCTGGGTGAGGCTGGGCTGCATCAAGTATTCCACAAAAAAAGGATTTCAGGTATTCCAAAAAAAGTACAACTGATCCAGTCTTCTCAATCTTTACTAATAATAATTCAGAACATGAACGGTTCTTCAGAACATAGGCTTCTCTTACTTCCTCCTACTCCTTGCTGCCAGAGACCTGACAGCGCTTCCTCTTACACAGCTGAGCCACATTTGGCTTGAGGGAGGAAGCAACTGAGACCCTCAGTGTGGCTTGAAGATGCTCATCAGTAAGTTTGGACCTGAACTTTGACTTATTAAAGTTCTTGGTGGAGAAGAGCTTTTCACACAGATAGGTGCTCCCAAAAAGGCACATGGTCTGCTTGAACATCCTGGAAAGCTCAGGGAAGGTAAGGGGCAATTCTTTCAAAAATTGTCCAAGCTTGTCTGCTTTTCTGCTCACCTCCCTGAACTTGGCTTTGAGTTCAGAATTGCACTGCAGGTCAATTAGCTCCATTTGATGCACAGCGGCGGGGGGTGGGGGCATCTTCCACATCGAAGGAGAAGAGTTCAGCAAAAATTTGAAAAGTGGCTCTGTGTGTCTTGAAATCTGCAAACCTGTGATCAAATTCTTCCTGTAGCTTTACAATGGCATCAGCATACTTCTCACTGCTGAATGGTGTGCCAGAATCCATGTGTGCCTTGCATGCTGAGAATGGCAGAGGTTTGTCTGAGAAAGCTGGGCTTTCCATAACACAAGTTTTGTGGAGAGTGCTCTAACATTGTCATAGGCAGCACTGACAAGCTGCCCCTGGCCTTGTAATTTCTTGTTCAGTACATTCAGCTCCTGTGTGATGTCAACAAGAAAAGCTAAGTTCATGAGCCACTTGGGATCACTTTAGTACAGGAACAGCCATCCCATCTTTCTTCATGAAGGTTTTCACCTCTGCTCTCAACTCAAAAAACCTCTTCAAGACGTTTCCCCTGCTAAGCCAATGCACCTTGGTGTAGTAGAGCACATCCTCATATGCTGACTCTATTTCCTCTAAAAAGGCGCGGAACTGCCGATGCTTTAAGCCCCTGGATCTGATATGGTTGATGCATTTCACAACGTCAGACATCACATTGTCAAACTTCAGGCATTTGCTGCAAAGGGCCTGCTGATGGATAATGCAGTGCAGAGCAATGGCCTCTTCCACAGCCTCCAATTTTCTTTGAACAAGTGCCACGACTCCATTTCTTCTCCCTGTCATTGATGGCGCTCCGTCGGTTATTATTCCAGCAAAACTCTTCCATAGTAAGCAGGTATCTGCAGTGGCATTACACAGCTGGCGGAATATCTCCTGAGTGGTGATCTGGCCATGCATTGGAATCACTGTGAGTAACTCCTCCATCACTTCAAAATTGTCGTCAACACCACAGACATATATTGCGAGCTGCGCAGTGTCAGTGATGTCTGTGCTCTCATCAGGAGCGACTGAGTATGCATGAAAATGTTTAGCTTTCTCACGCAGTTGATCGTAAATGTTACCTGACAGGTCAGAAATGCGCTCTGCCACTGTGTTGGCTGAGAGGCTGATGTTGCTAAACTGACCCTTTTTTCCCCAGACAGACTATACTTGCAGCCTGTAACATGCACTTTTTGATGAACTCGCCATCTTTAAATGGCTTTCCTGTCCTAGCAATCATCTCACTCACTACGTAGCTGGCTTCGACTGCCGCATCACTCTCTTTGCTTGCTTTCTTGAAAAAATCTTGTTGCCTCAGTAGACATGTTTTAAGTTTGGGGACATGGTCCTATCTCTCATCTCCTTGGTATTTTGCATACACCTCAGCATGTCTAGTTAAGTAATGACGTCTGATGTTGTACTTCTTGTGCACCGCAACTTTCTCTGTGCATATAAGACACGTCAGGATGCCCCTGTGCTCAACAAAAAAATATTCCACTTCTCCTGAAATTGCCTGTGCTCATCGCCAACCTTTCTCTTCACCGCAGTTTTTGAGAAAGACATGACTGGGGCTGGGTGACAAAAAACAAAACAAAACGTATTTGCACTGGGTGACAGGATATATTTTCCTTTCACTCGGTGACACTCCCGAATCACGTTTCAAGTGACTAACGTTGTTAATTTGCGTTGCTGTCACGATCCTGAGCTATGGTAGCCCACAGGTGACAAAAAAAATAAAACGCCCAGGCAATGTTCCCTCTAAGCTGTGCGCCGGGCAGGGCACGGGGGAGGGGCCCTGCGGCCTTCAAAGCACCGGTGGCGCCCGGGCCGGCCTCCGGGAGCGACGCGGGATGAGCGGCCCACCACCGCCGCGGTGGTCGGCCTTGGGCCATGCCCCGCCTGTCCCGGCACGCAGCCCAGAGGGAACATTGCACCCAGGGTAATGACTCATGTAGGTGTGTGTGAGAAAAACGCGCGGGCCGTACGATCACTAAACTTTGATATCAAGTGGGGGCCACAAAATATCATCCCACGGGCCGCAATTGGCCCGCAGGCCACGAGTTTGAGACCCCTGATGTAACCAGTACACATGGAATTTCTTCCTTGGCATCTCTTACATTGCAGTCCTACACATATTTACTCCATAATGAATCATAGTGAATTTGGTGGAAATAGACATGCCTGGGATTAGTGTCATTGCCTCTTCAATTTCCATTTATTTTATGAGCATCTGACACGGACATTTTGCATTAAGTATTAACAGTAAAATTTGCACATAATGTGATACATCTGAGGCCCAGATCATCCAAGATCTATCTCTGTGTCAGTATTTAAATGTGCATAAATCTTTGATTTTATAATGACAAACGTGTGTGTTCCTGATTCATTCTTATCTGCAGCAATTTTTGATATAATTTAATTGTGTGTTTGCTTTTCTTATTGTTCATTGGTTTGTGCTTCCTTTGTGTAAGCCACTGGAAAAGCATTCAGTATAATAAAAATGAGTATCTTTTAGGTTTTTTTAATTTTATTTTAGGCAGAGAGTACTTTCACAGAAGAGGAGGAAGAAAAGCTTCAGGCTGCTTTCTCAGTGGAAAAGCAAGATTTACATCTTGTTCTTGAAACTATAACATTCATTTTGGAACAGGTATTTTCTCTTATATTTTCTATGGAAGTGTGTTAAAGTAACAACAGTCTGGTTCATATGATGGCTCATTATGGGTTATTTGACCCACTATGAGTTACAGCTTGAGCTGGGTATACATGGAAATTATTTTGAAATGCAGATCAATGAGTAATACAAGCCCTGCCATTGCAGGATATTCAAAGGTTAAATAACCCTCACATAATCCAACTACTGAAATAACCTTGAAATGACCCAGGATGATTGGGTTCACACAACATTTGTCTGGGTTCAACAACTCATGTTCACCCTCCTTGGGAGTTACATATCGAAAAACATAGCCATATTCAGCTGACATAAACTGTGGTTCATCTCAAGTTAAATAACCTGTGATCATGCACTAAATAAATGATTGAAGCCATTGATCTGTTGTTGTGCAGACCAGGTCTAGGACTACATTCATAAACACAATTATTAGGGTAAACTGCACTGATCACTATGGGACTTACTTCGAAATGAATGTGTATTGTGTTATATGTCAGGAAGGCTGAAATTCAGAGCTCTGTTGGTGTCTGTAGGCTTCTTGTTTCTAGCAATAGTAGATGCAGGTTTGTATTCTTTAGTAGCAGTGTGAGTAACTGCAGCACATAGTGTTGAAGTACCAATGTTAATAGAGAGAAATAACAGAGGTGTATTCTATTCCTTTTACCCATGTAAATGTTTTTACAATTAGTACTACATGATTCTACATATGCCTACTTAAAAGTAGGTTACACTGTCTTATAGGATTGTATCCTTGCATTGCAAAACGTGTCAGTAATACAAAGGCCTTTCTAAACATTCAGTTTGAACTATAATACAAACTTAATTATCCATTTCATGGGCTCCTTTCTGTTACAGGAATATTATACTCTGGCTGCAATATTTTGTTGCTGGAATATTTACTTCTTCAAGCTAGGGATTGTTCCCATTACTTACTGACAATGTTATGCAAACCATTTTTTGTTGTTCATTGGATATGCCTACAGCAATTTCAGCTTGGTCCAATGGGTAACATGTTCAGTCTTTTTTGGGGTGCTTTCATAAGTCATCTAAGTAGCATATAGGGGAGCGTACTTAATTTGAGCTTTGTTTTTTACAGGCTGTATATCACAATTTGAAGCCAGCAGTTCTGAAACAGCAGTTGGAGCATTCTAACATAGATCATGACAAAGCAGAAGTCTTTGCAACAACATGGTCTGCTGCAGGTCCAGAGATGGTGGAGAAGTTCAGACAAAGGATTTTGTCACCTCATAAGGTAATCTATTAATGAAACTTAGTGAAACTTACACATTACTTTTGTAAAAAAGCTGTATGTTATTAGTTGCCAAGAATATAAAAAGTCTGAAGGGTATGTGTATATACATATGCATGAATCAATTAGAGAAGTTTAAAACATTATACTAACACCTTTTCTCCAAGCTATATAGATCTGATATTGCAGGGAATTCAGTGCTTTCTGTGACAGGCTTCTCTGTTGAGTAAGATACTAGGTTTGTGCAAACAAGTACAGAATGAAGTTGTTCAAATGAAACAACTTGGCCATTTTTCTTAGTGTAAGATCTTGCACATTTTATGGGTAGATTTGGCTACTGATTGAATTCAGTGGTACTGGGACAGTATGTACTTAATAAGGGCACATTCCTATGGAGATGAGCATAAATTTACACTCATCCGAATGCAAAGCAGCAAGAGCAACAGAGATTAACTCCTTGCTCCTTCCACCCTGCATTCTTACTAGATGGTTTCTCAGAGTGGGAGGAAAGAAGGTTGGAATAACTTCAGGATACATCACATTGTAGTTACTCCAGTCTTCCCCTGCCTCCTTAATGATCCCTCTCCAAGGTACTTTCAACATTGTTGGTTGGGAAGGGCGATTGCAACTTTGATTTTCAGCTCTGGGTTTGGAGTGCTGTTTCCACCCTTGGAACTAGGAATCCATGCTATCTTGTGGCTCCTCAGCAATGTCTAGAGGCCATAGGATAATTCTTTTAATGTATGACTTTATTTATTTAAGACATTTCTTAACTGTTTTTCTTTATAACATAATGACAAAATGGCATGCATGCAGTAAAAGATAGAAAAATATATTAACATCAACTTAAAACACCATAATAGGAGGAGAACAATACCAGAAAAATAAGTTCACATTATTCAGCAGAAAAGAAAAGAAAAGGAGAATTTGATCAAAAGCCTTTAACTGGTGCTAAGAGCTTGTTGGAGTTGGTGCTACTGGTAAATGAAGTGGGGGATGGGATTCTACAGTCAGGGTGTCTTGCTCACTTTGCTGCATATTGAACTCAGGGAAATGAAATACTACCAACAAAGTATTCCCTGTTCCTCTTAAGACATGTGAGTGTACATAAAACAGAAGGCATTCCATCAGGTAAGCAGGTTGTAACTTGTTCATGGTATTAGATGTCAGCATAAATTCCTTGAACTTGGCTTGGTAGCTTATTGGCTGCCGGTGCAACTCCTTCCACATGTTCCCAGTAAACTAATATGACATGTTTCTGGTAAGCCACAGCCTGTGTGACATTTTGCTGTAGCTGCAACCCCTGTGACAAACTCCAAGGCAGTCCTGCATACCACGCCAGGCATAGTTGAATCACTCTGGGTTAGTTGAAATATAGTACAAAAGCCATGACTGGCCTTTGGGCCAGTTCACACATGATGCCAAATCTTGAATTAGTAATGCTAGATGGAAGATCTCAAATGAAGTATGAGTCTTAATTGCCTTTCTCTTGAACAGCTGGAGGAGGCTTTCAGCTGAGTTTAGTTCCACTTTCCATGAACACTTACTTCTTATGTCCAAAGCAGAGATTGTGCCTTAAGAAAAAGAAACCAGCTGAATAAATTTCTCTATCTTTTTAAATGAAATGATAAAAACAACTGTCATGGGAAGTGAAACTAAATTCTATTGAATCCTTCTCCTGGCTGTGTGGGATGGGGAAATGAGAAAGGGACATACATAAGGCCCATAACATATAAATATGTTATAGCAAACTATTACTTTCCATCAAATTGGATGTGAAAAGTAAAATTGGAGGGAATCTAGCATGAGCCAGCCAGTAATGTCTGGTGTTATTACAGAGAATCTTACTCTGCACTGTTCCTCATTCAATTTTAATTGGTTGTCACTGTATTGATTGTTTACAGTTTTCATTTGTGTATAATTAATGTACAAATGAAATGAATACATAAATAAGGTGGGAGAAATTAGAATGTACTGAGTTTAAAATCTTGGGACTATAAAAAAGAATCTGCTACAGGTAAAAAAAAGTATAATTAAAATGATAAATGAGTTGAGCTTGGAAATTTGCAAGCAAAATGAAAGCTGCTTTAATGACACTCTTTCTAGGGTTCTGTGTATCTCATGGGGAGATGGTTAAAACACCTGGTTAGGTAAGTAGGTATGAGGGGAGCACTTCCTGGACTTATATGCTTGAACCTGTAGAGCAGCTTCCTTAGCCCAGTTGGTGGTTGAAAAGTTGCACAGAAGACATAGAGCCAGCAGTATCTTAGTGCTGAAGAGGAGGCAGCAGAAGCCTTCTAAAGCAATAGGAAGGGGTTCTTTCCAAAGAACAGGGCCATGTCTAATCTACTACCATTCACGTACTATGTGAAAATTTGCTGTGTTCACTCAGATTGCAGTGGATGCTTGCATAAAGCTGTCCCCTATCCCCACTCTGAATATACTCCTTCAGACAAAGCATATCTCCATGTGAGTGTAGCTGACTGCAAGCCTGCCACTGGCCTCCATTGTTTCCTAAGCAATTGCATGCAAGTTGCTTAGCTTTGAAACTACTACAATGTTCCATAAGTTACAAGATGATGGGACAAGAAGGAAGGAGGATATAGGGCTAGGAGAAGACTGAATTTCATGAACATAGAGACAGAGTAGTTCTGAGTTCAGTAATCAGGAAGAAGTCAGGGGAAGGATGTGTGAAGGAGACTATGAAAAGAGTCTTGAAGAGGCAATGGATGGAGTCCCATCAAAGATATGGACTGCATTAATACGAGACCTAGGGGCAGAAACTTCAAGGCAAGGTGAATTGAATTTTGCTCATGGCCTTTGCTTTCTTGGTGATATTTCAGTGTGTAGCTCCTAGGTTGGAACAGGTTGGAAGGACTATACCATATAGTTTTAATGAATAGGTTACTCTTATATAGTATCGGAGAGTGTATGCATTCTTGCATATATGTGACTGCCTGTTGTAGAGATGGAGGCATTTATCGATGTCAAGTGGCCATTGCAGTAGTAGTTAAAATAGATTAAAATCTCTGTCTGCAATAGAGGTTTTTGAAAGCCATACATTAGTAGTTGCCCTAAAATTAATTGGAAGAAATTCAGTGCATGAGTGTTCATACTAACAGCTTGATTAGAGGCACTGCTATTGCCAGAAGCGACAGAACTATTAGAAGTAGCTCCAGAAATGTGCCAAGATCTAATGTGAAAATAGATGCTAAATTTTATTTTCCATCATGGGTATGTCTAGTGATGACATCAGAAAGGACTAGTATGGTTTGACTTATCATTATGAGCAAGATAATGAGATTTATTACTATGTCTTAAACTTCTGATTGCTCTTTTTTGTTTCAGTAGTTGTAATACTACTGTGTCAGCAAGTCTCATTTTTCTAAAAGAGAGTATTTATTTGTTGGCTGTTTCATCCACCCCTCCTTCCTTTCTCCCTTCCTTCCATTGGCAAGAGTCTTCTAACCAGTCTGTCTAAGTAAGTTTAATGCATTGAATAAAAATCTACAAATGTTAAATGAATTAAACCTGCATTCTTTAAACTCTAAAGTGGCATGATTTTGTACCAGATTTTCTCTCTCTTCAATAGAAGCAGTTTTAATCCTATTCTGAATCATGTTGAGGTCAGTTTTGGGTGTGTGATGTAACTTGCCATTATATTTTCCCCTCATCAAAATGTCTGTTAGCCTCTCCCCAGCCCCATTTGGGAGCACAGATTCTTTGGCTTAAATTTCACATCTGTAAGTGATGAAAGCAAGCATTGGTGCCAGTAACAGATTCCCTTTTTCCTGGGAGGAATAACAACTTATGACAAGGCCAATGACAGCAGGAGATTGGGAGGCTTCTGACCCCCTTCCATGTGCCACAGTCCTAACTCTGATCTTTTGTCCTTCTCCCTCTGCCCTCCTCACCATGGCTATTATTTTAAAATAAAGTAACAGGAAACCCAGATACAGGCTCTGAACCACATATTGAACCATTCATCTACTTTCTGTTACATTACATTAGCACTGTATGTTGTCAATTTGTTCTGGGCAGGAGGTGGGGAAGCATTATTTGAACTAGATAGCTCCTATTCCAGGAGTGTGACTGGTCTAGCCAAGGGCCCGAGTGTTTGCTCGGTGAGGTGTGGGTGTCCTCACACAAATCAAGAATGTCCATGAAATATTTCAAGAGTTGTGCAATTTGCAGAGTGAAGAGAAAGCTCACAGTGCTAGAAACAGCTGTTTGCCCACTTTGTCCCTAGTGTGGCAAGCAACTATGACTTGACTTGTCCTGGGCAACTGTCCAGACTACGTACTTGGGGGTTGAGCAGGCCCTGGCAGGCTGCAGCACTTGAGGGTATGAACCATGGTTTAAGGGAGACTACAGTGGGCTCTATTTTTATGTATTCTTTTTATGCATACTTTTGCATAGTGCTTTTTAGTATTCAAAGTACTTCGTGTGTATGAACTTGTTGTGTACAATGGGGTAAGCAGTCTGCTGCCCTCCGTACGATTTGGACAATACCCCAGCAGGGGGTGGTTAACACGGCCAATGATAAGGGATTATGTGGGGTATAATTCAAAACATTTGGAGGATACCAGGATGCCTACTCCTACCTTACAGCAACCTTATTAAATCCTGTAATATTAAGAATACAATGCAATTGTTGTCATCATTGTTGTTGTTCTCATTATCCCTATATTGCATATGAAGGACTGTGGCTGAAAGAGAATGGGCTGTTCAAGAGATAAGATTTGAGCCATGAATTCCTGTCTCGTAGTTCAGTCTCTTAGCCACCATACAATATTGATTGGTGATCACTTCTTCATTTTTAGAGGTGGCAAGCTATTCTTTCCTAAGTGAAACAAAATATTTCATGTACTACAGCACTGTAAATGGATCACAGGATAAAACTTGGGAGAAAGAAATGTGCATATTTTTGTCACTTCTCCAATTAATATCTTTTTTCTGACCTTGTACAAACTTACCAGGAAGGGACATTCTGTTTCATCATC